CTTCACAACTCTATGAGGTAGGTTCTATAGTGTCCTCATTTTATAGATAAGGAAACTGAGGTTGACCAAAGTTAAATGATTTTCCCAGGATCAGATGCTAAGTATCTGAGGTAGGATATGAATTAAAATCTTCCTGACTCCAAGACCAGCACTCTATGCACTAGGCTTATTTTCTAGCCACCTGCTACTTACTGTAATCTGAATTATTTCATGTCTTCTTAGTTTCAGGGGCAGCTAGGTGGCGCAGTGGATAGAGCACCAGCCCTGGATTCAGGAGGACCCAGTTCAAATCTGGCCTCAGACACATAACACTTACTAGCTGTGTGACCCTGGGCAAGTCACTTAACCCCACTGCCTAGCCAAAAACAAATTTTAAAATTTTAAAAAAGTCTTCTTAAGTTTCTCTGAATTTTTAACGTTCATCATTTCTTATGGCATGATAATGTTCCTTTTCATTCATATGCTACAATTCATTCAACCATTCCCCAATTAATAAGCATTCATTTTACTTTTAGTTCTTTGTTGCTACAAAAGTATACCATATGCTTGCTCAGTGTTATGTACCTCAAGACCCTCACTGGAATATAGCCCACCTCTTATTATAATATTCATTCTTTCATTAATTGTTAGCCAATCAGAGTTGATTGTTTTCCTGAGGGACACCCACTCTTCTAAAGGTATATAAACTGTGAGCCCACCACCATGAGGGGTCTTTGATGTTTGAGAGTGCCACTGATCTCTTATTAATAAATGCTAATACTATTAATGAAATTTATTAGGAAATTGTTAATAAAATTATCAATTATTCAGAAAAAAACAAATATTTTTGTAAATATGAAACTTTTTCTTCTCTTTTGACATCTTTGAGTTATATGTAGTAGTGGCATCACTGAGTCAAAAGGTATACACAGTTAAATGCCTTTTTTAATTGAATTTCAAATTGTTTTCCAGAACAGTTGGAACAATTCACAGCTCTGGAAACATTGCATTAGTATGCCCATCTACCCACAACCACTCAAATATTTTCCATTTGTATCTTTTTTCATATGTGTCAATCTTATGAGAGTGAAGTGAAGCCTCAGAGATGTTTTAATTTGTGTTTAAAGCCTGGAGAGTTTTGCATGATGCTACTTAGGCATGACTCCTAATTTGATTGTAGATAGCCCTATTTTACCCCTTATTTATCTCACTGGAAAGACGTTAGGTATATCTCCATTACAAATAATGCTAGCCTTTCATTTTAAATATTATTTCTAATCTTAAGGTAAGGTCCATGTATTTCTATTTTCAGCGACTTTTGTTGTTAATATAGTCTACCAGGTTAAAAGTTTTCCTAAAGTTTAATTATTCCTGCATTCCTGATATAATTCTGACATGGTCATAATGAATAATTTTTAAAAATATATTGCTGTGCTTTGTTTGTTGATATTTCATTCAGTATCTTCACTTCACTATTCATTAGTAATATTCATCTCTAATTTTCTTTCTCTTCTTTCTCTCTTTTGAGTTTGAATATCAAGATCATGTGGTATCATAGATCAAAAGCTATAAGGGACCTTAGAGATTATCTGATACAACTTCATCATTTTAAGGATGGAAAAACTGAGTCTCAGAGAGGTTAAAGGGTACTGATCAAGGTCACATAGATAGTGCCCAAATTAAGTACCTTCATAATCACTCCTTATTTAGTATAACACTTTAGGGACTTCAACATACTTACATATGTCTTGTATTGTATTTGGGTAGACAAATAAGAAAACTAAAACTCAGAGAATTGATTGCTTTGCCCAAAGTCACATAGCTAGTAAGCAGCAAAATCATGACTATAGCCCAAGTATTCAAACTCCTAGCACTCCTTTATACTGTACCGCTTCTTCATGAAGTCTTTCCCTTATGATGCAGCCCACAGTACTAGTTCTCTTATCCAAAATCCCACCTAATCTCAGAATCTGATGGGCTCTTAGAAATGATCTGAACAACAATACACTCTAAACATCATCAAGAGATAGTCATCTAGCTTCTACGATAGACCTCTCGTGATGGAGGAACCCACTCCCTCTTAAGGCAGCCAATTCCCCTTTTGGATGCTAGGTGGCACTGTGAATAGAGTGCCAGGCCTGGAGTGAGGAAAACCTGAGTTCAAATTTAGCCTTAGACATTTCCTAGCTGTGTGACCCTAATAAGCCACCTACCCTGTTAACCTTAGTTTCCTCATCTGTAAAATTACCTAGAGAAGGATATATAGCAAACCACTCCAATATCTTTGCCAAGAAAACCCCAAAAAGGGGTCACAAGGAGTCAGACATGACTGAAAAATGACTAAACTACAACAAAACATATTCTAAACTATTCTTTCATTGTCTGAGCCTAATTTAACATATAATTATATGCTGTATTTATTATACTCTAATTGTTTCATATTTGTATAGCTTGTCTCCCTAACTAAACTATAAGTTCCTTAAGGGAAGAGATTGATTCTTCTTCATAGACAAGGTAGCATGTGCAATGGAAAAAATGATTAGACTTAGAGTCAGGAGATCCCTAGGTTCAAATCTCATCTCTATTTCTTACTAGATGTGTGACCATGGGCAAGTCACTTAAATTTTTTGAGCTTTGGTTTCCTCATCTTTTAAATAAGAATTATGATACCTACCTTAAAGATTATTGTGATCAGACATATTAAGCCCTATATAAAAGTAAATTGTTTATTATTCTATATCCTTTACAATGCTGAGCCTAACTCTGAGCACACAGCTGGAGTTCAATTGATGCTGAAGTGATTCCTATATGTTGTAGCTTCTAGTCTCTCCCTGGGCTATATTATACGTTCATTTTTCATTCTGGGGCTTTGTCTTTTTGGCTTTTGGCATTTCTCCATATTCCCCAAAGGCAGAAGTCTGAGGGAAGGTCAGTTCTTCCTGAGAAAGGGAGGCTAAGTTCCCCAGGAGAAAAAAGCAGGCGCTTGTCACTCACCTGGCCCTGAGGGCAATAGTAAGGGAGTCCCTGGTGGGAGTAAAAGCCCTGGAATTTCTGCACAAGGATGAGGTCATGGCTAGGCCTCATGCCTAATAGCTCCAGCCTGTCACCCCTTCACTTGTTTCTAAGGCTGGGACTAGCCCAACTTTGCCTTGCCCACCTTCCCCAGCACCTGGCAGCCGTCAGCCAGCCTCAAGAAAGGTAGCAAGCCTTTTCTCCTGGCTATGGATCCAGAAGCCTTACAGTCACTCAAGGACACAAAGGAAATGCCATAGAGTAAGTCCATAGCTGATCAGGGAAAGACCTTCTCTCACAATCAGGTAAGAGCATGAATAAGGCATAGGTTATTCAAGGGCACTTGGCAGACTCAGGTGCCCAATCAGAAAAGATTTAAACAGGAATTCTAGAAATGGAAACCTTAGTACATAAACACACTCCACCACCAACCCTCTTCTACCAGCCCTCTTATTGGGTCACCTGCAGTTCTTCTCTAGGTCTCAGTTTACTTAGCGGGGAAAATGGTGCCTGAAACATTCAGAATCACTAAGATCACCCATGTTCCCTCCAGTACCGTCCTTCAGAAGAAGCCCAGGTTAGGAGAACTCCTGGAGCCCTTCCAGACTAGACACATTCTTCCCCAGCCTTTGGTTTGCTCTTTAGTAACAAGAGGAGAACAACCCCATCTATCTCCCTCATCGGGTACTGGGTAAGAATCATTAATGGGAGGGTTTGAACAGAAGGCTGCCTGGTTGGGGGAAGGTTTATGGTCAGGGAAATGGAAGCACCACTGGATAGAAGCAGTCCCTGATTGGGGCAAAAGGGAGCAATAATGGAATAATTGGTTGAAGAAAAGCGCTGGTAGAGTCAATCATGGAATTCCTTCAGGAGAATTAGGGGACAGTCAAAACTACACCCTTGAATGTCAGCACTCCTTCTCCAGCTGTCCCTAGCTATTCCTTGAAGTCTATGGCCAATCCTTTTCTACCACCACTAACTACTAGATATGACCTTTTTTAGCATCCAACATAACAAGTAGAGAAATCCTTGCCCAAAGCAAACATGCAAGTGGAATGAGGGTTTATTATTTTTAATTTTATAAACTCTACTGAGAGGGAAGAAAATACATAATTGAAGTGCAATATAGGAAGAGTTTTAAAATATATAATCTTGAATTGTTCTTTTCTAAATCAAGTTCAACTAAACACTGAGGTACAGATGTTTTGTCTGGCATAGGTTCTAAGAATAATATGGCTCTTCAGTCCAACTCCAGAGTCCAATAGCCTGTCTCAGGTGAAAAATCCCACTCTTTATCTGGGACGATACTCCCTCATTACTGCTCCTTCCCATCAAGGAAGGGTTGTCATCAGGAACTCTGGTTACATCCTTCATGCTAGGTGAAAGAAAAGCTTTGGAAAAGAATAGGTGTTAAGAGATCAAGTGTTGCTCTTTGTCAATTCTCTCTCCACCTGAAGTAATATGTACAAGGAGATGCCTAAACGGTAAAGTATCAATAAAAAGTCCTCATTGTGGCAGTCAGAGGTTCATAGATCTAAGTTGGGAGGGGTCTTAAACGTCATATAGTCCAACACGCTCATTTTATAGATGAGGAAACCGAGACCCACGGAGGTTAAGGAACTTGCCCGAGGTGACACAGTAAGTAACAGAATCTAGATTCAAACTCAGGCCCTGTGACTATAGGTTCAGCACTTTTCCTGAGTTTTCACTGTGGTACAGATAATCATTTAGCTTCCCCTGAAACTTCCCATTCCCTGTGGTGCAATGGGAATTCACCTAGCAGGGCTCCTTCTGCCCCATTCTGAGGTTCAGAGGTCATTTTCCATGAAGAGCAGTGCAGTAAGGTGAAGAGCCACTAATCAGGAAAGTAGGGGACCATCAGAGGTAATACCCAAGGCAAGTACAGACTTCTTCTTTCCTCCCTGATGCCATATGCTTCCAGTGAGTTTACAGGTTCTCTGTTGCTCTCCCCTTCTACAACAATCGTGAACAAAATACTTCTTCAGGAAGAATGTGGATGTTTTTTATTATCATTATTTTCAGTTCAACCAATATTTACTTTTTAAAAGTAGTTCTGTTGTTGCTGCTGGTTTATACACCAGTTATTTCACCCTTAACATAACTCTTCAACCTTTCCTTGTGACAAAAACAAACATTTGAATTAATCAAATCGTTGAATACCATGGTTTATAGTACCCTTTTCTCTAATGAAAGGAAGAAAGTGTGTTGTCTATCAGTTTTCCAGGACTGAGATTCAACAAATACTTCTTTTGTGCCTGCTCTATATATCCCGGTGTTCAGCATTAATACAGAGATAGGGAATGAGCGTTTATATAGTGCCTACTATGTGCCAAGCACTGGGTTAAGCACTTCACAAATGTCATCTCATTTGATCCTCACGATAACCTTGCCAGGCAGGTGCTGTAATTTTCAGGTGTCTGAGGCTAGATTTGCAGTCCGGTCTTCCTGACTCCAGGCTCAGAATTCTATCTCCTGTAACACCTACCTGCCAATGATAGAGAAGACATATTAAATCCTGACCTCAAAGAATTAAGAATCTAGTAGAGACGGGGGTGGATGGGTGAAGGAAGCCATACATAAATAACCATCATAAAAGGTAGGATGTGCTATCTGTAAAAGAGTGCTTTGAGGTATTTAAGGAAGGAGAAATCATTTCTTGCTATGGGGATCAAGGAAGTCTTTGGGGAGGGGATGTGGTAACTGAATTAGACAGTAAAAAAAAAAGAAGAATTTTAATACAAATAGATGATATGAGTAAAGGAACAAGGAAATTCTATAAATAGGGAACAAGGTGAGAAAAGGGATGAAGGTAGAAGAGGAATCATCAATATCAGTATTTACTGAGTGCCTACTGTATATAAAGCTAGGTTGAGAGGCTACTAATCTTAAAACCTGCTTTCATGGCCGTTACAATCTAGTTTAGGAGACAGCATACACATAGGTGCCCGATACAAACTAGCCTTCCCTTCCCTGTGGGTAGGTAATAGAATGGAGAAGCCAAGCTGGACTGGGACAAGAAGACTCTGCCAATTAATCTTGATGGGTTATCACCTAGCGGAATAATAGAGATGCCTTACTTTACATGCAGAGGACACTCAACAACTGTTGAGTTGTGGGCTCTCTGAGGTGGGAGACCACAGTTCTGTTCTCTGCCCTGTTACTATCTATCCATACAACCTTAAACAGGTCATTTCCTCTCCTGAGGCCTCAAATTTCTTACCTGTCAAAGAACAGGATTGAACAAGATGATTTCTAAGGTTCCCTCTACATCTAACATTCAATTATTTTATGAAGTATAGAGAGTGCTGGATCGGAAATGTCAAGACCCAGGTTCAAATTCTGGCTCTACCATTCAATAAATATATTGGCCAAGTCATTTAGACTTTTTTGAGGTCAATTTCCCCAAGAAGCAAAATGCAAATAAAAATCTTCGTAGAAATGTTGTGAGGATCAAAAAAAAAATAAGGAATGTAAAAGTGTTTTGAAACAATTATACAGCACAATACATCCTAAGGCATCCTATCCCTTCGTACAGGTATTATTTACATATAATTGATAAGTTCACGGGAAAAGGGTCATTTTAGGGTCAGTGTTTTGCTGGCAGCAAGAGCTTCCAGCAAGCTGAATGTTGGTAGAAGGATGAGGAAAATAATGGAATCAAGATTGAAAGAAGATCTGACTGATCATTTAGCAGCCAGGTGGTATGGTAGATAAAATGTTGGATCTAGAGTCAGAAAGACCTGAGTTCAAAGTCCACTTCAGACACTATTAGCTATGTGTCCCTGGGCAAGTCACTTAATCCATCTGCCTCAGTTTCTTCATCCATAATGGAGATAATAATAGCACCTACCTCATAGGACTGTTGTAAAGATCAAATGAAATAATAATTGTAAAGGGCTTAGCATAGTGTCTGGCATATAGTAAGCTCTATATAAATGGTAACTACTATAACTACTACTACTATTCGCTGAGGGATAAGCCTTGGATAAGGAAAAACTGAGCAAAACAAATATTTTATCAAATCTCCTTCTAAACAAAGAGATGTCAGGGCAACAGCAGAATGTCTGGTCAGCCTACAGTGACACATTTTTAACTGTGGAATGGGGATGGCCAGGCATTGCAGTACTGGGCCCAGGTTGATTTGGGGGACTAGTGCCCCCATCAGAGATGAGCTGGCTTTTCTAAACTTTTTACTAAACTTTTCTCTTTCTTGAGTTCTTCTAAGGAAATTGTGGGAAGGGTTATAGAGGTAGTAGAGAGATAGATACTCTTTAACACAGGAATTCTTAACCTTTTTTGTGTCATGGACCCCTTCACCCCTGGCAAAGCCTATGGACCCTTCCTCAGAATAATGTTTTAAATGCATAAAATATATAAGGTTACAAAGGAAACCAGTTATATTGAAACACAGTTTTGATGTTGTTAAGTCATTTTTCAGTCAGGCCAACTCTCTGTGACCCCATTTGGAGTTATCTTGGCAGAGATACTAGAGTGATTTGCCATTTTCTTCTCTAGCTCACTTAGAGATGAGGAACCTGAGATAAACAGGATTAAGTGACTTGCCCAGGGTCACACAGCTAGTAAGTATCTGAGGCCAGATTTGAATTCATGAAGACAGTCTTTCTGGTTCCAACCCCAATTCTCTATGCACTGTGCCACCTAGCAGCCCTGAAACTGAAGGCAACAGAGGTTAATTACTTGCCTAGTAAGTGTCTCAGGCTGGATTTGAACTCAGGTCTTCCTGACCCTGAGCCTACCAGTTGGTTGCCCCAAAACATAGTTGCCAAAGCAATTGAAAAAGAAAAGACAACCACACATGGACTTCAGGTTTAGAATCATTATATCTAGTATCTAGAAAAGTTTCAGATTCCATAGGAATAAAAATATACTAGATTCCACCCAGGGTAGTGCTTTCTTGCCTCAACAACACCACAGTAGACAGAGTAGTGGACAGGAAGACCTGAATGTAAATCCTGCATCAGACACTTACTAGTTATGTGACCCTGAGCAGGTCACTTAACCTCTTTCAGACACAGTTTCCTTATCTGCAAAATGGGAATAATAATAATAATAATTAACATTTACATAATACTCTATGGATTGCAATGGATCAAATTAGGTTTATTATATACAAGGTATCCCAAAAGTCTACTAAAGATTATAACTGCATATTAAGTGCTTTACAAACATTAAAACACTTTGAAATGTTAGTATGATTATTATTGCCCATGTTCTTCTTTACCTCCTGGAATGCCCTCAATACACTATTACTATTACCATAAATAGAGTATTGTGTTCAATTCCAGATTCCATGTTTTAGGAAAGAGATTGAAAAACTGGAATATTTCCAGAGAAGAGTGACTAGGATGATGAGGGAACTGAAAACCAAAATTTCTGAGGATTATTTGAAGAAACTGCAATGTTTAATCTGGAAAAGAGAAAATGGAAAGACATGTTAAATTTCTTCAAATGTCTGGAAGACAATTATATGGAAGTAAGAATAAGCTTGCTTTGCTTGGCCCCAAAAGACAGAACATTCAGCATTTCATGAGTTGCCAAGAGACAGAGTTTTTACTCAGTCCAAGGAAAAATATCCTAAGACTTAAGACTGTTCAAAAGTATAATAGGATGTACCCATGACTTTAAGAACAGGTAGTTGACCACTTTTTAGGGATTTCATAGTGGGGATTCCTAATAGCACTTAATTTAGCCTGGGACACTGATGTCCTTTCAAACTCTAAGATTCTGCAATCCATTATTAAAGAGGGAAAAAGGAATACTTCTGCTCTCTTGTCTCTTTTGGAGGCTGAGAACTGTTATAGAAAGTAACAGAATAAACATGGGATCTGGAGTTATATCCTTTGGATCTATTCACACTTATGCCTCAGTTTTTCCATTTAAGGACATGAAGGTATTTTAGGTCACTTCTAGCTCTAAGTCCTAGGGTTTCAAGAATAGATTGAAGCAAGAGATGTAAATAAAGGTTTACATTTCCTTGGGTAAGGATAAGAAATTTGGAAATACAAGAAAGTTTTGAACATTTAATAGTAGTAGTTTGTGTCAAAGACAGGGCAGGAAGGGAAAGCCAAAGGAAAAGAAAGATTGTTAGAGCATACAAGGCAAATTTAACTAAGTTTCAGTAACTTTCTTGCCTTGTCAAGGATGAATAAAATTGAAGCTTTTAGGATAAAGTCATCATTTTGTATTTTAAAAGACAATAATACAATATTACTAAAAACAATACATAGCCTAATAGAAAAAGCAATGTAGTTGGGGTCAGAGGACCTGGGTTTGAATCTTTGCACATTATTAATTAACTACCTGTGTGATCCTGGGTAGCTCACTGAACCTCTCTATACCTTGGTTTCTGCATATATAAAATGAGAGTATTGGAAGAGATGGTTTCTAAGGTTTCCCTTCCAGATCCAAATCCTATGAGCCTATGATCTCCCACTCATCTTGGAAAGGATAACACAGCTGGTAGAAAGACTGAAGGAGCAATTATAGAATTTACCTGTGGCAACAATCCTTGTCAGCAGAAACAATCCATGCAGGTGATTGGGATGGTCACATTCTCTCCCTTGTTACTTTTCCTCCAGTCCACAATAATCTCCACATCCATGTTTCTGGAACAGGGAGAGGATACACTTGGTGAATGTGAGTTGACCTTTATCACTGAGCAGCTGGGAGTGGAGGGTCCTGCCAGCCTGGACAACACTGGACAATACCCCTGAAGGATGAGCTTAGCCTTTGGCTAGAAAATGATCAGTTTCAAAGGTGAGTTCCTTGTGATTTTTTATATGTATAGAGAGAAGGATAATACAGTATCGGTCTTCGGCACAAAGCAGGGCAGTCGGTCATCAGTTAACTATATCAGTAGGGTTTGTGGTCATCAGTTAACTATATCAGTAGGGTTTGTGGTCATCAGTTAACTATATCAGTAGGGTTTGGTTCCTGTAAACTGCCCTGAGGTGGAAGAAGACAATGCTGACTAAGATTTTCAGTAAAGATTTAAGTGATGCTTTCAGTTAACAGAGTGTTATAGTATATCACAGGGCAGCTAGGTGGTGCAGTGAATAAAGCACTAGCCCTGGAGTCAAGAAGACTCTTTTTCCTGTGTTCAAATCTGGTCTCAGACACTCACTAGCTATGTGTTCTGGATAAGTCACTTCACCCTGTTTGCCTCAGTTTCCTCATATGTAAAATAAGCTGGAAAAGGTAATAGCAAACCACTCCAGTATCTTTGCCAAGAAAACCCCAAATGGGGTCACAGAGAGTCCAAAGCAACTGAAAAATGACTGAACAAACAAACAATAATATAGTATCATCGCTCTAGAGCTAGAAGGGACCTTAGAAGCCATCCAGTCCAAATATCTCATTTTACATATGTGGAATTGAGGCCAAAAAACATTAGGTGATTTGCTCAACATTACAGATAGTAAGTGTCTCAGGCTGGATTTGAACTCAGGTCTTGAAGCTGATTGGAGCTGGGATTTGCACTTAGGTCCTCTGGGTGTAAATCTAGTATTTGTTCCATTGTATTATACTGCTTCTTCAGTGAGGTTGAATAATTTATCTAATAGCCCAGTTTATCAATAAGGGGGAGGAGTAGAGGTGGGGCCAGAGATTCAACAGAGACCCAAGAAATCAGGCAGAGGTAGGAAACTAGAAAAAGGACTCAGTGTACCTGGGGGCTAGTTCAAGATCCCAGTCACCTGGGCTACAGAGGCATTTGAGCAGATGTCATGTTTGTTTCCATTGTGATATCTCCAATCAATACTGCAGGTTAAACCCACAAACAAAGAAAAGAAAGAAAGCAGAGAAATGAAATGTCAGAAATGAAACCAGGATTCTTGGCTAAAAAGGGCAGACCCCAAAAAAAATTTTGAAAGGAAACTTAGATTGGGGAAAATAGAGGTGGTTCTCTGCCATACTCATCCTCATAGCAAAGCTGCTTTGGGGTCCCAGGATGGGGAAGATTTCATGACTTCAAGTGCTGATAGACTCTAGGGCATTAGGGAGCTATACTGGCAGTAGGCTTGTCAGGAGGTAAATAATCCATCCACATCAAAGGCTGAACCTAAACATGGGATGATCTTGGGGGGGGAAAAACTTTTGTAGGGACAAGGCTAGTCTGTTATGAGACCATCCCATTCAAGTGGAATTTATAACTGTCCCACTGCTGTGTCATTCCAACCCTAGGTGGACATTTTTGGTAGAGAATCAGATATCACCATTAAGGTGGCACCAACACAAAACATTGCAGAAGATCTTCCCTCCTAAAACTGAAAAAGAAAGTTCACAGGCCTTTCAAACTATACATAGCTGCTTGTGGGCAAAACCCTAACCTATTCAACTATCTGTTAACTAGTAATTATGTTATTCAACCCTTGCAGAAAGAGATAAAACAATTAGATGTAGGAAGTCATTGGTAATCAAGATGGCACAAGAAACATGCCATCATCACCTGGAAAAAGCACAGCACTCATTGATGGTCCTTACCAAAAAGTTGTTTGAATTTATTTTTATATAAATGTTATTTTAATTTTTAAATTAAGAAGCATTTATTTTCTCTCCCTTCTCTCTTCCTCCAATAAAAAAAAAAAGAAAACCATTATAACAAATATGCATAATCAAAGGGGAAAAAAAGATATTCGCATTGGTCATACCCAAAAATGAATATCTCATTTTGCATCTCAAGTGTATTTCCTCTCTGCCAGGAGGTCAATAGTATTCTTCATCATCAGTTCTCTAGAAAAAAAGGTCATCATCATCATCATCATCATCATCATTTGTTTCCAGTTCTTTGCACTGGAAAAAAAAAGCTGCCATAAATATTTTTGCATATATGGGTCCTCTTCCTTGTTCTTTTATTTCTTTGGGGTATAGGCCTAGCAGTAGTATTGCTGGGTAAAAGGCTATGCGCAGTTCAATGACTTTAGGGACATTGTTCCAATTGCTTTCCAGAACCGCCGAACCAATTCACAGCTCTACTAACAGTGCATTTATGTACCTGTTTTTCCATAGCCCTTCCAACAGTGGTCATTTTCTTTTCTTTTCTTTTTCATCATCATTGCTCAGAGTTGCTTTAATTTGCATTTTTCTTTTAATAACTTGGAGAATTTTTTTCACACAGATGACGAAGGCTTGGATATCTTCTTTTGAAAGCTGACTGTTCAAATCTTTTGGGGAAAAAAATGTATTCCAAAGTAGCTTGTCTCTTTCAAGGCATGACACATGGTAAGCTATTCTTGTTCTATCATTTTTCCCTTGTTAATAAGTACAAAGGGGGCAGCTAGGTGGCGCAGTGGATAGAGCACCAGCCCTGAAGTCAGGAGTACCTGAGTTCAAATCTGGCCTCAGATCAAATACTTGACACTTAGTAGCTGTGTGACCCTGGGCAAGTCACTTAATCCCAATTGCCTAAAATAAATAAATACATACATACATACATACAAGGGGAAGCATGGTATAATAGGCAAAGCAAGCAGACTTGGGTTCAAGTCCTGCTGGCTGTGTGGCCCTGGATGGTGAGTTGTTTAAGCTCTCAGTGTGCCAAGTAGTTCTCTAAGACTCTAATTGCAAGCAGTTCCTGAAGTCTCCTCATTGAGAGTTCTGTCTGCCAATGAGATCACAGATTCTAGAAATAAGAAAAAGAAAACACCATCAGATGCCTTGTCCCAGAATGTGAACTAAAACAATACTGTGGAAGAGGGAAAGACCCAGATAGTCTTTATATGGGAGAGTTTGTGAAGCCATGATGAAGCACTAGGGAATCTCAAGGCTGTATTGTTTTCACACGTAAATGGCTGTGACCCTACAATATTGAGAGGAGGTCCTATGAACACATCAATCAATTAATCAATAAACATTAAGTACCTACTATGTGCCAGGCTTTGTGTTAAGTGCTGGGATACAAAAAGAAGTAAAAGACATCCCTGCCTTCAAGGAGCTTGCAATCTAATGTACACACAATGATGTTTTGATGGCATTATGCTGTATTTCTAGAGGAAATTGAGCAAGCAATACGTGGCATTCTGTAAAAAAGGCTGCAAGTAAGTGCCAGTGTGCCAAGAGAAGACCCAATGAAACTTACAGTAGTTACTGCAACCCTTGCCAGTTCCCCAGTGAGTTGGATCTAAGAAGTGTTAGAGTCTGGGATGGACCTCTGACCCCATCTTGAGTTCATACCACCTGGGTGTTTGCCTCAGTTTCCTCATCTGTAAAATAGGGATAGTGATAGCACTTCCCTCCCAGGGTGGTCATGAGGATCAAAGGAAACATTTGTCAAGTGCTTAGCACAGTGCCCAGCACATAGCTGGCCCTATGTCATTCTTAGCTATTATTATTATTACTAAATAGCGCTTCCCAAACCCTGTACCCAGACTCCAAGTCATATACCAGAAAGGCAAATGCAGTTCTTGACATTACCTTTTTAGCCAGATTTTCATTTTTCATAACTTACTTTTGAAAATACTTATTAGAAGCACTAACAAAAACCACAAGTTTTTCAGTTTCTCATCAAAGATTCCATAATTCCTAAAGATTCTTTCCAGGTTTCATCCAATTCATTCTCAATTGATTGGCACCTCAGTGAAGTACCAGAAATGTGGAAAACTCTAAGCAGAATGATTGGCATTCCATTGCTACCTCTTTAGATAACTGACCTGGATGAGAGACGGAGCCATTGTGAGTTACTCATCTTAGGCGTATTCATGATTTAAGTGAGTACTGCACTTCCCATTTACCTCACTAATTGTTATAAATATGCCTAACTTCTTATATTTCTAATAAATGTTTCTTTTTAAAATCTTTGTTATTTGTCATGAACTTAAGCTTTCTACATTCTGCCTCTGTGAAGTTTTTAGGAAACAATTAATTTTTTTCGATAAACATATTCTGTTAACCTAAGATCATGGACTTATTTGCAGTGTTAGAAGGGACCTCACAGGTCATCTAGGGCAACATATAACTGAGCAGAAATCCCCTATGCCATATCACACAGGGAATAGAGCCCTGTGTCTGGAGTCAGGAAGACCTGAATTCAAATATGGCCTCAGACACTTACTGGCTATATGACCTCACTTAACCTCTGTCTGCCTCAGTTTCCCCATCTATCAAAGATAAAGTGCTTTGCAAACCTAAAAGCACTATATAAATGCTAATTATCATTATCACAATTATCCAGTCTACATGTGAGAGCATCTAACAATAGGGAACTTAGTAAGTATTAAAAAGTTTTCCTTATATCAACACAAAATCTGTCTCTGAAACTTCTCACCCCCTGTTCCAAAAAAGTAATTAAGGACAACTTTGAATATGATTTCAGTAGAGGTAGATGGTTCACTTGCTACATTGGAGATTTGGATTTAACTAAATGTGAGATGGAGAATACCATTACAACCATCATAGTCCAAGAAGTTTTGGAAGCCAGGGCCCTATGGACTAGCAAAAGCTATACTTACCCAGATAAATTTCACTTCAGAAATGGGCTGAATCGGGGTAGCTGGGTGACGAAATAGATAGAGCACCCACCCTAGACTCAGGAGGACCTGAGTTCAAATCTTGCCTCAGACACCTGATACTTATTAGCTGTGTGACCCTGGGCAGATAACTTAACCCCTCTTCCCCTGATTGCCTCACAAAAGAAAGAAAGAAAGAAAGAAATGGGCAGGATCTCAGGTCTCTTAGGATACCTCATTCTCCTTCCAGATGAGATAGCCTTCCTGAGTGCAGAAGAAATTAAATAGTTCATTAATGTTATCCATGGAAAGGATTCCTGCCTCAGACACTTAATAACTATGTGACCCTGGGCAAGTCACTTAACCCTGTTTGCCTCAGTTCCTCATCTATAAAAATGAGCTGGAGAAGTAAATGGCAAAACCACTCCAGATCTTTGCCAAGAAAACCCCAAATAAGGTCAGGAAGGGTCAGGCAGGTCTGAAAATGACTAAACAAACAAACAAAAAACAATGGAAAAGATATTAAAGTAGGAACCAAGAGATCTGGTTTCTAATCCTGGGTATGTGACTCAGTAGCTGTGAGAACATAGGCAATTCAGGTTACTTACTTACTCTCTCAGGTCTTCAGATCCCTCACCTAGATTTAAAATAAAGGGGACTTTTGAGATGGGATGAGCTTAAAGGTCTCTTCCAACTCTCAAATCCTATGACCTTGAGGTTGGGAATATGAACAGGGTAAGACATAAAGTGTAGATAAATTTATGGATATGAATAGTTAAGGGAAACTAGGGATGTTCATGAGATACGTCAAACTTTCTGAAGTGATGTCACAGACAATCCTACCCTTCTAAAAAGCATAATTCAGATTTTATAGTGCTTTTAAAGTTTACAAAGCACTTTCTTCACAACAATCCTGAGAGGTAGATAGTGCAAGTATTATTATCCTTGAGGATGGTCCAGACAGTGTAGCAGCTTCCTCCATCAATGCACATCAATAATTCAATTACAATTTATAGCCTCAGAGGTGTGCCTGGTGCACTTAAAGGTTAAGTGACTTGCCTATGGTCAAATAATTTGTTCCAGTGGCAGGATTTAATCCCAGATCTTTCTGACTCCAAGGCTAGCCCTCTATCTACTATATCATGCCAACACTGGCCTCCTCACTGCTCCCTGCCAAACAAATGCCATCTTTCAATTCCACGCATTTTTCACTGGCTATCCCCTGTGCCTGGAATGCTCTCCCGCTTCATTTCTACCACTTGACTTTCCTGGCTTTCTTCAAATCTCAGCTAAAATCCCACTTTCTGCAAGAAGCTTTGTCCAGTTCCCTTAATGGCAGGGCTGTCCCTCTGAGATTAGCTCCACTTTGTCATACATATGTACATATGCATGTATCTACATATATACATATATGTATGTAGCTGATTGCATATAATCTGTGAGCTCCATGAGAGCATGGGCTATTTTTTGCCTTTGTTTGGATACCAGTGCTTAGCACAATACTTCGCATAGCAAATGCTTAATAAATGCTTATTGACTTGTTTTGGTTCTCAGCTTCCCTATTTTACCAATGAGGAAATGCAGACTCGGAAAAGTTAAAAGTTACTCATTGTCACATAGACAATGTGGATAACCAGGAATCAAACTCCGAGTTCTTCACCAAATCCAATATCCTTTAGAATAACTTACATTTGTGTCTTGCTTTTAGGGTTTAGATAGCTCTATCCCCAATAATTCTCTGAGGTGGATAATAGAAGTATTAACATACAGATGAAGAATCTGAGATTCGGTGATGTTACATGACTTACCCGTGACCAAAAAAAAAAATAGCAAGTATAAAGGAGTAAAACTCAGGTCTCTTTCTTCCAAGTCCATCATTTCTTCTACTTCATAACACTGATTTTCATTTCCCTTAATGATCCCAAAAGAAAACAAATCCTGGTGTTGATAGACCCAAGATAGCAAATGTCATCTTTTTGTATTTATAGTTAGTGTCTACACTGTTCCAAAGGTTGACCCAGCCCCATCTCAGAGCTCAATCTATATATAAGTTTTTTGCTTGCGTCCTCGGCCTTTTGCTGTACTGGGGACCTTCTTCCTCTAATCAAGATCTTCTGTCCTCCCATCTACTCCCTGGGGAATAACAAAGAATGCTAACCAGGAAACTAGACTCTAGCTTCTCTAGTGAAAACTTGTTCTGACTCTGTCTGCAGCTTGGGAGCAGTCTCTGTTCCAATGGCTGAGGAGAATTGGACAACAGTGGATGAGTTTGTCCTCCTGAGCTTCTCTGCCCTGCAACCTGAGCTCCAACTCCTGCTCTTCATACTCTTTCTCACCATTCAACTTGTCACCTTGTTGGGCAACACCCTCATTATAGTGGTGACTACTGCTGACTCAGCCCTACACAGTCCCATGTACTTCTTCCTCAGGAATCTTTCTGTGTTAGAGATTGGCTTTAATATGGTCATTGTACCCAAGATGCTGGGGACCCTATTGGCTCATGATGCAACCATTTCCTTTCTTAGCTGTGCCACTCAGATGTATTTCTTCTTCTTCTTTGGGGTCTCAGAGTGCTGTCTCCTGACCACGATGGCATATGACCGCTATGTGGCCATCTGTGATCCCTTGCGCTACCCAGTTATCATGAGTCACAGGGTCTGTGTCCATCTGGCTGCTGCTTCATGGCTATCAGGTCTTCCTGTGGCCACTGTACAGGCCACATGGCTCTTCAGCTTCTCATTCTGTCATTCTAATAAGGTTGACCACTTTTTCTGTGACAGCCCACCTGTGCTAAATCTGGTCTGTGGAGACACAACCTTGTTTGAGGTCTACGCTATTATAGGGACCACTGTGTTTGTCATGACACCCTGCCTCTTTATACTGAGCTCTTATGCCCGTATTGTTGCTGCCATCCTCAAGATGCCCTCAGCTGAGGGGAAGCGCAAAGCCTTCGCTACCTGCTCTTCTCATCTTGTTGTAGTATCCCTCTTCTATGGATCTCTTAGCCTCCTGTATTTTCGGCCCAAGTCCAATAACTCTCCTGAAAGCAAGAAAGTGCTTTCACTATCCTATACAGTAGTGACCCCCATGTTGAATCCCATCATCTATAGCCTGAGGAACAATGAAGTAAAGGCAGCACTTTCTAGGACCTTCCTCAGAGCAATAAGATTTTGCAAACTATGACATTCAGTTGTAGGGATAATTCCCCACTTTGTTCCTGAATGGACTGGACAGTTTGGAGAATAGGGGGAAAATCACTTTAGTGCATGGGACTCTACTGTTATCTGAGTGACAAGGATTACCCATACCTGGGATACATTAGAGAAAGCTTGAAGCTCTCTAAAGAGGTGGTTAGTACCAACAGAAAGATGGATTGCTCTGATGTGCCCTGATCCAACAAATATATCTGGAATATTAGTATTAACTGGAACCAATCTTAGTCCATCCAAAACACTAGGAAGATACTGCAAGTGACAAGTTGAGACCATATACGTGAGACTTTGAACATCCATGTAGACTGTACAGAAGCCTAAAGGAGAAAGACTAGCAGTACCAGTAAACATCATGAGTGTACCACTCTCCCAACCTGTGAAGTAGATCCCAAGAAATTTAACTTTGGTGATTTTACAGTACCAGAATAATGGAAGAATTGATTCAGTTCAATGCTGAGAAAGAGAGAAAGCATGTTTTCATTGCATATGTAGGATGTGAGATGTGCACAAGGAGAAGCTCACAGAATGCAATTCAGATTTCCTGCTATTCCAGGAAAAATCTGGAAATATTTATTTATCTGTGAAAGAAGATCAGAAGCTATCTCAAGATATTTCTGGTCAATAGTATCTTCACATAGTCCAACAGCCTATGTGCAGCACCTAGAATAGACATGAGGATTAAGAAAAGAAAGATATGACTGTGTGCAGGCTACCAGACTTAGGACAAAGGATTCAAAGTGGTTCACCAGTGCACCATGTCAAGGGTTCCCGATGCCCAAGGCTGTCTGGTAGGCAGCCAGCATTTCTCAATGTTGAACTTTTGCAGTGGCTTCCACCAGATTTCTATGACAGAAGGAAACAGTTTTCATCTGCCCAGTGGATTTTGCTAGTTTCAATATATGCCCCAAGGCATCTCAGAGGTACTTCTCACTTCATAGTGACTAAGGAAGGAAGTAGGTGGAAACATGAACTACTTGAAAATGTTGGTGTACCTTGATGACTTCATTTTCTTTAGGAAGAATATGAGGAAAGACTGATAAAAGTATTACCTGTTTATTAGCTCAGCACAGCAACTGCTGGTGATGCGCATAAATGCATATACAGACACGTACATCCATATTTGTTCTTGGGTTATGATTTCATCATAGTAGGGGACTCCTCAGGGTAAAAAAATCTTTCCACCAGGGTTGATCAGTGACTCTTCTGTAACTTAAAGTCTTAAAGGGTGAGTTGGAGTAGTGATTGATTAAGTAACTTGCCCATGACCAACCTATAGTCACAAATCTAAAATAGGACATGAACCCATTTCTTCCTGTAAAGCATTCTGCAAATTTTAAAGAGCTTTATATATGTGAGCTAAAAGTATTATTGTTTAGTAGCAAAGTGACATACCTGTTACAGCGCTAGCCTTGTAGAAAGGAAAAACCAGGTTCAAGTCTTGCCTTTGACATATACTGCCTGTATGATCCTGGCCAAGTCACTTAACCTCCTAATGGCTCAGGAAATTCTCTAAAATTATAAATGGCACACCAGGTACTAATTCTCATTAGTAGATAGAATTCTTAATCAAATATCCCTATAGTAATGAAATTATCAGTTCAGTCAAAAGAAAAATATTATCATGGTTATTGATTCAACAGCTGGCACTCTAGAACACTACACCACTTGGCTTCTCTGTCTTTCAACTAGTAGTGATAAAAAGAAAAGATAATCTCTTCCTAAATATAGATCTCTTCTTGTATTCAATATAGATAGAGAAAAGTGAATCAACAAGTTTAGATCAATAAGCCCCTTCCTAACCTACAGCCTTCATTGAAACCTTCCCTCAGTTTCCTTACTTTCATGATGAATGATTTAAGTTATTGCAGAATTTCTCTAGATCTTGTTTTCCAACCCTTGGACCATGTTTTTCTCCCTAAATGTTATTTTCATTTAGCCATCCATCTAGTCAGAAGTCTACATTGAGTTGACATTCTGATTAATCACCTGATCAACTGATAAACATCGAGGTGCTGAGGGTACAAAGTAAAAAATGAAATAAAGGCTACTCCCAAGGAGTTTTGATTCTATTGCAGAAGACAACATGTACCTAGAGAAATGCAATGGGGTTAGGTGACGGCAAAAAAAGGGTCCATTCCTTGGAGCAGTTGTGTGGAGGAAGGATTGGAGTGAAGAGAGAAATGAAGTTGAGAAATTACAAGGTCATTGCAATAGTTTAGGCAAAAGATGATGAGAGCCTAAGGTAGTGGCTGAGTGAGAAGAGAAAAGACCACATATGGGAGAACTGTTGTGGAGAGACAAAAATGGCAAGATGTTAAGGGTGAGAAGAGAAGAAAAGTTAAAGATGACTATAAGGTTGCAAATCTGAGCGACTAGAAAAATTGGTAACCTAAACTAAAACAGGGCAATTATTCAGGGTCATTCCACCTAGATTCAAAGGACGAAATGATGTTGAAAAGTAGAAATGTAAAGTTTCCTACTATGTTGTATGGTAGACTGACTTCTACCATTGTATCCCAGTCATTTTTTTTTTTGACAAACATCTGCGGAAAATGCATTTCCAGATGATGAAAGGTCCAAGACTCAGTCCAACTGAGTGACAAGGACTAGACATATTTAGGATGCTTAAGAGTGAACTTGAGGGGGGCATCTAGATGATGTAATGGATAGAGCACTGGCCCTGGAGTCAGGAGGATCTGAGTTCAAATCTGGCCTCAGATACTTGACACTTACTAGCTGTGTGACCCTGGGCAAGCCACTTAACCCCATTGCCAAACAAAAAGAAGAAGAAGAAGAAGAAGAAGAAAAGAAGAAGAAGAAGAAGAAGAAGAAGAAGAAGAAGAAGAAGAAGAAGAAGAAGAAGAAGAAGAAGAAGAAGAAGAAGAAGAAGAAAAGAAGAAGAAGAAGAAGTAATCAAGGCCTGAGTGGATGATGGTAGTGTCTTCCTTTTGGGGGCAGCTAGGTGGTGCAGTGGACAGAGTACCAGCCCTGAAGTCAGGAGGACCTGAGTTCAAATACCACCTCAGACCAAACACTTGACACTTACTAGCTGTGTGACCCTGGGCAAGTCACTTAACCCCATTGCCAAACCAAAAAGAAAAAAAAGAAGAAGAAGCAATCAAGGCTTAAGTGGATGGTGGTATTGTCTTCCTTTTGGGGGCAGCTAGGTGGTGCAGTGGACAGAGCACCAGCCCTAAGTCAGGAGGACCTGAGTTCAAACACCACCTCAGACCAAACACTTCACACTTACTAGCTGTGTGACTCTGGGCAAGTCACTTAACCCCAATTGCCTAGGAAAAAAAAGAGTAAATTTGAAGTTTCCAAAGAAAGTTTTTCATGTTAATGCCTTATATCATATTCAACAATGAATTAAAAATGGATACACAACCTGAATGTTAAAGTTTTGACTATAAACAAATTAGATTAGAAGCAGATCATATACCTTTCACAGCTATGGGTAGTAGATATTCTTAATTGAATGAGGGATATAAACAATTGCAAAAAAAAATAAAATAGATTTTTTTTATCACAGGAAACTAAAAAGCTTCTCTATAAACAAAATAACTATATCTAGGGAAAAGGAAGTAGTTAAATTGGAGGGCAATATTTGTATTAAATTTCTTGAATAAGTTTGGAATCCAAGATACTTCAATAACTAAAAGAAAAATATAAAACTAAAAGCTATTCCCCAATAGTTATGTGGTCAAAGGTTATGAGCAAACTATACTAAAATAAGAATTACAAACTATTCACAATCATACGAAAGAATGCTCCAAATTGCTAAAAATAAGATAAATGCAAATCAAAACAACCCTGAAGTTTCAGCTCCTATCCAGCAAACTGACAAAGATGACAAAAGATAGGAATTCAACGTTGGAGAGGTTTGGAAAAGATAGGCACACTGTTGGTAGGACTGTGAATCTATACAACCATTTTGAAAAGCAATTTGGAATTATACAATAAAGTGACTAAAATATCTATCTGTAGCCCGGAGATTTTACTACTATGCATTGATTTAAAAGTCTCTATATACACCAAAATATTTGTAGCAGAACTTTGTTTTGTGGAAGTACCTACTGTGTTCCAGGCTTTGTGCTAAGCTCTGGGAAAATTGGAAACAAATTAAGTGCTCATCATATGGGTAACGGCTAAATGCATTGTGGTACATGAATATAATGGAATATTATTATGCTGTAAGAAATCTTGAATGCCAAAGACAGCTTAGAAGGTCAATGGGAAAAATCTGTTAGGTCTCAGCCTCAGTTCCCAAGCTAGCACGGCCCTAGGGCGATGGCTGCCTCATGAGCCTTCGGCCCACAGACTGAGGGTGAATTGGGTGGCTGATCAGAGGGGAATTGCAGGGATCTCTTTGCCAGTGCTGAGGCAGGAATCTCTTGCTTTGCCTGTGCTTGGATCTGGGTCACAGTTCTGAGGGGCAAGGAGGAGTGCTGGTGTGGTGGAGCTTGTAGGGGCTATGGAGAGAAAATCTTCCTCACAGTTTCAAGACAAAAAAGAGTGCTTGTGGTCACTCACAGACCAGAGCACAGGCCAGGAAAGGAGTAAACACCTCAACCCTTATCATATCACCTTGGAAGAACTGAAAATTTATAGGTCCCTAGAAGTATCTCTGAAAACAGCTATATAAACCCCCAAAGTTTGGACAGTACATTCTCCACATTGGAAGCAGACCTCTACCTTAATAAAGAGTTTATAACTCAAGTAATTAGCTGGGATCATGAGCAAACCTCACAAGAGTCAGACATAGAATCTTTTTTGGTAACAAAGAAGCTCAAAACATACAACCAGAAGAAGACAACAAAGTCAAAGCTCCTACATCCAAAGCCTCCAAGAAAAATATGAATCAGTCCCAGGCCTTGGAAGAGCTCAAAAGGGATTTTGAGAAGCAAGTAAGAGAAGTAGAGGAAAAACTGGGAAGAGAAATGAGAGTGATGCAAGAAAATCATGAAAAAC